GGATTGAACCGCTCTTTATTCTCCCATCTAGAATCAAAAAATAGTATTCTCCCCCCATACAATTGCAATAACTTTACTTTAATTCGTTAAATTCTTATTGAACAGTTTTATGATGCTTCAACTTACAGGTATTCAACGAGTTCAATGCTCGAAAACCAGATGAGATGAATGTCTTCAGGGGAGTGACCAAGAATCGTCTCTTCATGGGAATTGTTGGAATGACCTTTGTGCTTCAGGTGAATAGGCATCCCTCTTGTCATACGTATTCTTAATTTTCAGCATTTGAGAGTTTTTCTGACTCTACTACAAATTTTTAGATAATCATCATCGAGTTCCTCGGAAAATTCACAACGACAGTGAAGCTTGATTGGAAGTTGTGGCTTGCTTCTCTTTGCATTGGCCTTTTCAGGTTAGTTTTCTCCACTTTTTCATTATCAAAATTCTGATCTTATCCATCCTACTATCCAGACAGCTCATTTTTTCAAAGTGGTCAGCATTTGTATGAACATTCTACCCTCAGTCCTTTAGCTGCATTATATGAACAAACTTAAACATTTCCGTATGCAAGGTTGTAATTCATTAGGGAGTTTTCGTTTGGTTTGTTGGGCGTACTAACAGCTGATTTTACCTTGTAACAGCTGGCCTCTTGCTATAGTTGGAAAATTCATTCCAGTTCCCAAAACACCACTGTCCCGAACTTTCATGAGGTCATTCAGAAGATTGAGGAAGTCCCGAGCAGGAGCAGGAGAATAGAGAAAATCTGTTACGAAAAGGATCACGTGCAATTCACAGTTAACTAACCACTGACTACTGACATGTTACAATACATATTGCTAGTCCACGCTGTTGAGCCTTCTCTCTAGGAATCTTATTGTTCTCGAAGTTCAACATATAGCAATCTTATTGTTCTAAAAGTTCAATATGTCATTGAATGCTTCTAGCGCCAATATGTTTTCTAGGGTCTTTTCTCTCTCTGTCTCTCGCGCTCTCTCTCTCTCTCTCTCTCTCATTTATTGGTTATTATTATCTACTCTAATTTTCGTTCCTTATTCTCCTTTCGTGTTTATTTTGTCTGCATGTCGAGTATTCCTTTTTATTTTTTTGCTAACTCTTCTTTTTCATATTGGTTGTCTCCTTTATTTTTACTTTTTTATTTTAATTAAATTATCTTTTTATCCTTTATCTTATTTGTTAAATTTATTTTGATCTTTTATCTTTTAAAATATTTGTTATGATCTTTTATCTATTGAATTTGAATTAATTTGGTCATTTTAAAATATTGATTATTTTTTAATTTTGAGATATGATTTTAGATTATTTTGTTTGTTGATTTAAGATTCAAAATTAGTTTTATTAGATTCACTTATATGAAAATTATTGAATATAATTAAAATTTAAATATAAAAATATTACAACCATGATAAAAATTGCATAAAAATAAAATTCAAAAGATAACTAAAAATTTAAAAATTATTATTTCATGCTACTTTTTAATTATTTATAATATATTTTTTACATGATTTTTATTATGTTATAGTTCTTATAAATTTAAACGAATAATATAACTCTTATACAATGAAATTTATAATTGCTAATTTTATATCTTGAATCAATTGAAAATTTATTTAAAATTATGTTGCAACACTAAAAATTATTGTTGTTTTTAAAAGAATCAAATTAATTCAAATAAAAAAGTAAATGAATAAAATGAATATTTTAATAAATAAATAATTAAAATAAATTTAAAAAATAAGGGGAAAGATAAAAATATAATTTAGTTATTTTATTTATTATAATTATTTAAAATGTAAGTTAAATTTTACTGTGAAATAATAAAAATAATAAAATAAAAATAAAGTAAAATGTTTTTTTTTTTTGAAATTATGGTCAAACTTAATCTTGGTCTCTATTTTTCTAAAAACTGTAATTTTGATCCTCGTCTATTCTAAATAGAATGAAATTAGTTCTTGATGCCATGTAACATCCACTGAACTACCGCTTGCCATGTTAGCAAAGTTAAGTAATATAGGATGAAAGACCAATTCTACCAATTTTTAAGAATACGTTACCTAAAAATATATGAACTTTTTGGCAGCAACTGATTTTGCGCAAATATTTTGGCAGCAACTTTAAGAGTTACTTTTTAATGAAAATGTTTTTAAGAGTTAAAATTCTTATCGATTTTAAATTTTTATTTATCATATTCATTTATAAAATAAAATTTAATATCTTAAATAAATTATCAACAATTAAAAATATTATTGTATTACATTATAAATTATTTATAATAAAATTAGAATATAATTTTAATAATAAAAATATTTATCATAAATTTTAATTAGAATATGTTATATTAAAATTATTTGTTTATTATAAATTTTAGTTGCATAAAATGATAATAAAAAAAAATTAGTCATATATAATAAATATTTAGCTTGAGGCCAAAACATTAGCTAAGGATTAAAAAATCAAATTTTATGAAGATTATATATATATATATATATTAATTTTATTGAAGAACTTAATTTACCACCTTTACTATAATCTTTCTTTTCAACCAAGTTATTTTTCATCATAAAGTTTGAATTCAAAACTCAAAAATTTTAACTTCAATTCTATTCCGGATCAATGATATGTCGGTAATCTTTTTAACTATATTTAACCCTTTTCTCCCATGGTTATTGACTGGTCGAGGGATTGTTCGGTTACCACGTGACCAAATAAAATAAGGTATTAGAAGAAAAAGAACAAAATATTTTAATAAATAACTATTAAATAAAAATCACTATGGTTTGATGATATATTGAAACTCAAAATACGTCACAAAATGATGAAAACATGTAATTACATAAAAAGGCGAAAATATGCATCAAGATTAGCCTACTTCAAAAAATACATATACCTTATATCACGAAGAAAAAAATCCAATATATAGAATGACATACCATGGAGATATGAAACAAATATATCATCTTCAGTTTCACCAGCACCAATTATGATCAATAACTATGACTATGAGGCAACCAGAATTTTACAAACAAAATGTGAGGAATAGAAAGCCCTCTGTACATATATGACGGTGACTTGGAACGCCTGAAAAGATAAATTGAAGGGGGAAAACGCAAAAAGCCACAATGGGCGGGTAGTTTGGGAAAGTGAGATTGTGTCTTGGAGCATGATAAATAAATGAAGATGTTGGATTGGAAGGGTGAGAGGAAATGAACTAACAGTAACAAGAATATGCAAAGTGGTTTTTGTTAGAGACATAAGGAGAGAGGAAATTGGAGGCAGAAGCAGATGAAGCTGGAACCAGCACGCGTGTTTTTCCAGAACCTATTCTCTTTCCAACTACATTGGCATAGAACAGACCTGAAATTGCTGGTACGAATACATCACTCTCTGCACTCACGTAAAAGTCGATCACTTTCTCAAATTCAGAATCTAGGTACTCTCTCTTCTTATCTGCCGGCATGATGGCTTCCTGCACCAACCAATAACCAACAAGGATTTTATATTTCTATTTTCAAGTTCAAACAAAACAATGCTTCTAGTTTGTAGAATTTCTTTTCAATGTTCCAATGGAAAAACAAAGTGTGTGAAAGAGAGATTAACAAGTTAACTCACCTTTGTGTAAGTCTTAGGGAACAAATCCTTCAGAGAATCAAGGCTGCTATCCCACCTTGACTCTGTCACATAAACTGTGGTATCCTTGTCAAAACCAATCTTCCTCAAAAATACTGCAATCTCTTGTGCATTGTAGCAGCTTTTCTCCCCATCATTATCACTACCTTGGCAGCCCTTCTTATCCAACATCTCAACCCTCAAGTCCACAGCTATGAATTGCCCATCTGAATTTCGGCTTAAAGTTCTTAGTCTTTCAACCATTGAGCCAACCACTTCATGCATTTCTGGCTGCAACTCTAAGCTTCCAAACATTGCTAAGCATGCAACTGAATCAGTGTCACCTTTTTTCCCTGCCTTTCTCATGTTTATTGAAGGGAAGTAAGTTGCAAGTCTTATACTTCCCTTTGTTCTGTATATTGGCTCCACATGTTCAGCTATGTAATCTTCCGTAACCCGATTAGGGACTTTCACAGCAGCAATATTCCGGGTTAAAATATGAGCAGGAAGATCCTTTACCACTCTGACCACCCCTTCAATGCTTTTCATGAACACATCAACATCATAAATGTCCTCAAAATTCCTGACATTTCAATTGAAATAGTTAGGAAAACGTACTCCATTACACTATCAAAAGTAAATTAGAGTGAATTCAAAATTGAGTCCAACATGAGCTATTCATCAATGACATATTGACATCTACAATCAAGTATATGCTCAGATTGAGCAACCTCCGAAGCTAGCTTGCAATAAGAATGGGGCCTGCGATAACAAAGATGCAATTGGTCCTTGTTTTTCTTTTATTCTGTGTGATTTGTATTTTTTGTTTCTTGATTCTGCAATCGGTCCTTGTTTAATGGAGTGCATTAAGGCATTTTTTTCCTTCAAATTTTAGTCAACAACTTGACCAAGGATTTTGGCCCAGCCCTGGATTGACTCAATTCAGCAACAATGTGTTAATAGTATGTTAAAATAAAGGTGAGAGTGGAGAGACATCTAAATGAGGCACAAGAATTAAGAAGGAAACCTTATACGCATTTCAATCATGGTGCTGAGAAAAATCACAAACAGAAACCATCTGCCTACACTCTTCCCCATGATAATTACTTCCATCAATTGTACAATTTTTTATAATAGAAACCTAATTAATGCAAGATGTCCAGAGAAAGATTAATTAAAAAAGACTAGCATTTTATGTTGGGGACCAATGATCCAAAAAGCTAAGTTAATAGGAGAAAGGCCAACGTTTGTTTTTAAGAAACTTTTTAGACCCTAATTATTTACTAATGTCCCACTTAATATTTACATCAACAGCTTATGCATACTGGTTGATGACAAGAAAATGATCATCATCAAACACAAAAAGCAACACATGCAATAATACGATGGTTGCTCATTTGAAAACAAAAAGGTTAAATTAACGGGCACAGCTATTTAGACTAAGCTAGGCAGAGGTTAAAATATAGAGAGGGGGATGAAAATAAACATTTTCATCCCTAGACACCTCTTCCAAGTATATCCTTCATCTTTTATAGAATGAAATTCAGCACTAACCTCTTGTCACCAGGTTGGCTTCCTCTGATGTCAGGCATCACAAGTGTTGCCCCCAGACTTCTAGCAACAATCACAGCATCTGCTATCTGTACAACGCATCCCTAGAGTGTTAGAGGATAAGGAACAAATTGCAATTACATATTGGGGAGGACAATCAGGCATATCTATCAGGATCTAACTATATACAAAGTTATGTGACAGCCAATAAAGAACTTACAATTATAAATGTTAACTAGCAGCAACGGTCAGAAAAGGGGGAAAGAAAAGGCAAAAATGTTCTTCACCATTCTTGGAAAGTGTTCAACTCAACACTGGATTTAAAGTCTAAGTTCTAGACATAATTATTAATTAGTCAAACATATTGAAAGCACGGTAAATGAAAGAATAGTTGCTAACGTTTGAGAAACTGCTGCAAGTATTTGTAATACATAAGCAACTTCTCAGTAAGTTAAGCATAATGACTTAAGTTACCTGAGAAATATGATACTCTGGGCCATTGGTTAACGCAAAAGTAACAAATCCTTCAGTCTGCTCCACATCATCTGCCACCATGACAATATAAATGTCTATTTTGTAGTATGTATATGAAATAACTTCCTCAAAAATGCGAGTCTCAAAATAAAAATCTTACCAACGGATGGCTTAACCCAACACGGTTTTAGGTCATCCACATCTCCTTTCCAAATCCCTATATTCTTTCTCACATGAGTAGCATCAAACTGAGCACTCTGAAAGTTGGCATCCTCCGATCCTCCTGGTAGCTTTTCCTTGTATAGTAAAATGGACAAATGAAGTAAACTAAATTTAACCACTAAATTAAAGTCTTTTGAAAATAAGAAGAGTAAAAGTCAAAATAATGAATCTATTTGACTCCATTGGGCCAGAGTTGATACTTTGGTCCAAAATTCTATCATTAGAGAAGATTAATTGGGTGGCAATAGGAATCGATATTCACATCCAACTACTCGTGCAGCAAGTTCAGATATTGAAATGTGGTCTGAGCAGTCAATCAATAATTTCACAATTATTGTAGAACATCAGTTTCTGGAATTGAAGAAAAGGTTCAACTATTTTATTGAAAAGTTTCTATAAAGCAATTATGGTGTCTTCTCCTGGTTATAGTTTGCACTTGCAGGTGCAAATAAGGGATCTATAAGCTTTGTGAAAAAAGGTTTTGATTTTGATTCTTAAACTGAGGTAGCAAATGCAAATGAAGCAAGGCAGAGAAAGATGGATAGGATTGGATTACCTGAAGTGAATCAAAGTGGTCTCTTTTGATCATATTTCCGAGCATGACAAACATTGTGAGGGTGAGCACACCTGCAACCCCTTGTCTCAAATCCACTCCCATCTCTTATGCTTCAACTCAGAAGTAACCCTAAACTTTCTTAAAAATAAAAAAGGAACCTTGAGATTCAATTTCAAAGTTTCAGCAGAAAATAAGAGAACCCAAGCACACACTCACTCTACAATCCCATATCATATGCTAATCCCAGCCTCCTCCTCACTTTATAATTTCTAGTTTTTACACCACCGACACTTCACCTACAAAAATTAAAATCATGTCCAAAATCCTTCATGTATCCACTTTCCTTCTCTCTCTCTCTTTCATTCAAATATGTTTTTATTTACGACTAGACAACTTTTCAAAATGTATGCAATGCATGGAGGTTCATTTGATTTGATGTTTACAATTTATTTAATAATTTTATCTTTATAATTATTTTTTATAAATTATAAATTTTTTAAAAAGTAATTCACAAACACAGTATTTTTTATATGTATATATAAATCAAATAGACATATTATTCTGTGAACTTAATTCTTTTAAAATTTAAATAATTTTACACTATGAATCGATTAAAAATTTGTAATCAACATAATTTTTAAAATAGGTACTATAAAACATAATCTATTTTCATTGATGACATGTTATAATTAGATAATAATATAAATAGTATTTGCACTGTAAGGATATATATTATTTTCTCTTGTTATATATAATATTAAATAAAGTCTCTAATTTTAATATTTAAATAATAAGTTTTGGCTATGTTTGCCAAACACTTTCACCTAAATTTAGTTATTTTACTAATTAAAAAACTTGTTTGACGTTATTAATATTATTTGGTTAATAAACTTTTATAACTTATAACAAACTTAATTACATTTTATTATTCTTTCATTTTTCTTCTTTTATTAATACTTTAATTACAATAATATTTATATAATATAATATCAAAATTTTATTTTGGTAGAGATATCTATTCAAAGATATCTCTTAATGTTAAATGTAAAAATTTTCTAACGAGATTTTGACGTGATAAGTAAAGTTTTATATCAAATTGAATATCATTAAATTTTGACTAACGTTTAATAGTCATGAGAATGTTATCAATATTTAATAAATTTATATATAAAAAAATAATACTATTTATATAATTTATTACATTATTTTACATTAAACTTTAATATATTTTAAATAAATTTTGGTCTTTTATAAAGTTATAAATCACTCTAATTCAATTTTTCACTAAAAAGTTAACTATTAAATTAGTTGATATAATGAAAAAATATATATCTATTTAAGTGTATATTGATTTCTTTTAGTTTAAACTGGTTATGAATATTTTAAGTTATAAGAATAATAGTAATATGAAAAAATAGAATAAAGGAATCTGAAAATTGAAATTAAAATAATAGATCTATAAATAAGAAACTACAAGAGTTTAAAGTCAATTAAAAACTAAAATTATAACTAGCCAAAAATACATTTTTATCAATATAATAAAATTAAAATTTGTAATTATATAAAACATTTATAATTTAATATTTTATAGTTTAACACTTTTCAACTTTTAGCTAATTTGTTAGTTTTCAGCTAGCTTTTCAAATACTTTTGTCAAACATGGTTGTTTGGTAAACCATTGTTTGTATGTGATTTTCTTATCCAACTAATTACTAGTGTATTTCTTATGCTAGTCTCAATAATTTAATTATGTCTTATCTTATATTTCTCATTTTTCATGATATGGAGTAATTTCATTTGATACGCTTTCTATATGCAAGGGACATGCATGTTAAGTCTTCTAAGCAGTGAGAACTATAAACATAGGTTATACAAGTATACATGAATAATAGCAAAGATTAAAATTTAATTAGTAATCACATGACCTCTTAAAAGAAAGGTTATAAATGTGTATTTTTGATCATGTTTAATCTATATTTATGGTTTACAATTCTCGGGATAATTTTTTTTTTTTTTATGATTTAACATGTTTTCTACATACTTGAAATTATCTATCAAAGACTTATATTATTAAGAAAAACAATAATTATAAATATGAATCATGCATGAATGATTAAAATTAAAAATTAATGTGCGATAATATGACTACTTAAAAAAATCATGTGCATTTTTCTTTTAGCTTTGATTATTTAAATATGATTTTATCATCTATATTTAAACTTTTCATTTCTCACAATAAGAATTGTCCTCATTTAATATACTCCTTGCTTATAAGGGATGTATAAGTGATATCTTTTTCTCTTATATGAGAGATGTGAACAATAAATATAAGTAATAAATGATAAAAATAGAAGCTACTCAATAGTTACATTACCATTTAAAAAGTTAAAAATCATTCAAATATAATTTAATGACCTATATTAATATTTTTTAATTTTTTAATGATAAAAAAAATCTCATTTAATGTCCTTCTTATATATAACAAGAATAAATTTTATTTTAAGAACGTGAAAAATATAAATTTGAATCATACAATCGATATTAAAAAATGGTTTATAATGATATGATTACTTAAAAAAATGTATTAATTTTAATTTTAACCTTTTGAAATATGATATAATAATTTGTATTTATTTTAATTTTTCTACAACATGACATTTTACTTGATTTTCTTCGTGTGTTCTTACAAAGACATCTCAGCTAGTTCAGTCTAAAGTGTGAACCTTTTTGAAAGGTGATGGTACTAATAGATATAGATTATTGAAGAGGCGTGTATTAACATAAAATATAAAGTTGAAAGATAATAATTAGGCATTTGGTATTTGTTATTTTCATATTGGTAGGTAAGATATCAAGAAGCTGGGTGAGCTTGTTCCAAGTCTTGAATTGCGTAAACACCAAACAGTGCGTGGTTATTGAATATTGAGAGTACCTACAAACAATTTGTGAAACAGCTAGCTAATGAATAAATAGATTATTAGATTTAGGAATGGAATTTAATTAGTCACTATGCTCCTAAGACCATGTTCGCTTGTCAGTTTCGCGCGGTAGCCTTCCTTTTTCTTTTATAAATTAAAGTAATGATACATTATGGAAGTAAAGAATAAGTTGGATTTATTTATTTTTTCCTTTTTTTTTTAAGAAAAAGTTTAGATAAATTAGAGCTCAGAGACTTATTAGGGTCATGTAAACAGATCACTGTTTCCGAAGATAAATATTCCGTATCAATATCATTATTAAAAAAAAAAAATAGCATGTGTTGCAATCCTCACAATGAATTTTGAGTACATGATTGATTTTGTTGGGATACAAAATATTCACTCCTCGATAAATATATCTCTCAAATAAATATAAACTTATTTATTTATCAGATTTTGCTTCTACATTTTTTATAATAAGCATAATTATTAATTAAAAGATAGGAATTAAAATTATAATAAATTACAGTTATTAAATTTAATCATTAATTTATAGTAGACATATTGTATTTTAATTATACTTTACAACAATTTATTTTAATAGAACCAACTCTACATTGAATTTTAATAATTATATATAT